CCCTTCACTTCTGGAAGGAGGAACTGATCTGGGATATTGGGCGTGGTTTAGGAGAGATGGACGGACACGAACTCACCAAAATGATTGCCAAGATTAGAGTTACAATCGATGGACTAAAACCACTCATACAAGAGACGATCTTAGAGTTCTCCACAGGTGAAGAGACAATTGTTGCTCTGGAATATGAAAGGCTGGCATCTCATTGCACACACTGCCTTATGCTAACCCATGAGAAGAAAGATTGCCCACAGATTATAACTCAGCCAGAAGTAAACGAGACTCTGAGGCAACCCCCAAACCAGAGAGAGTATAACTCCAACCAAGAAAGAAACACTAACGTCAACAATAACTTTGAATACGGGCAAATAAGAGGATCTGACACACAAACCCCTACGGAAAACCAGAGGTCAAGGGAAGCACCAAGGGGTCTCAGATTCGTTATGAGAGAGAGGGAAGAACAAATCACCATGGAGGACACCAGCGAAAGGATATCTATACTGAAAGGGGTTCCGTCTCTAATAGGGAACAGAGACCTCACGACCCTCGACGTCCCTATGCGCTAGAGAGAACACATCCATATTCCCACTCATATCAAAGAAACAGAGCAAATCGATACTCCATCCTCGGTCACCTTCACTTGTTTGGGTTGAGAAATCTGACGATATTAATTCTCAGAGACATAGATCCCCTGTTTCCCCCCAGAGTAGACAACCACCGCTAGCTAGAGAGGCAAACATGGGGGCTGCCATGTCGAGAGAGAGAACCCTAGACTCAACACGAAGTAGAAGGCCACCACTTGAAAGAAACTACCATACTGAAAATTTGATTTCCCCAAATCCTGTTCCCACCACTTTGGAGGTTCTTGAGACACTACAGAAGGTGATTTAATAAAGAACATCCCATTGGTAAAGAAGAAGAGAGGAAGACCCCCACTTGCAAAGAGAGCTAACGCAAAGCACTTACTCACGGGATCAGGCTAAAAAAAGATTAGAAAAACTAATCAAATCCAAATCTCCCCAAAGGTCAGAAGTGCTCAACGAAAACAAACAGCTCGCCAAGCAGCTACATCTACTGGCCGGGCAAATCAACAACCAAGAGGAACAATTTTCTCCGAATCCATCAAAAGGTCTATGGATTTTTGGGTCCCCTCCGATCAAGTTCATTAGCAGTGGCGGCTTAGAATTGTCAAGGGTTAGGGATTCCCTTGACAATCCATCGACTGAAGGAGATACGACTCGATATTTTTCCAACCGAATGACATTGTGCTGAAAAAATTTGAATGGATGGGATATAAAAATAGCTTTCTGGTACCTCCTCATGGACATAGTGCTGGTGGTTTGGCTTTATTCTGGAAAGAAGAAACAAATCTCGAAGTCCTTACTTCTTGTGAAAATTTCATTGACTGTAAAATACTCTTTGAACACAAGTCTTTCTATGCCACGTTCCTGTATGCTAACACAGATAGGGTTAAAAGGAGAGAACTGTGGGCAAGGCTAACGGATAAAGCTTTACTCCGAAATGAGGCATGGTACATCACATGTGGTTTCAATGATATCACAAGCAATGTGGAAAAGGAGGGAGGAATCACAAGGCCAGAAGGCTCCTTCATGGAGTTTCGCTCTTTCTTATCGGAAAATGATTTGTTTGATCTCCAACATACCGGGGATCCTTTATCATGGAAAGGAAAACGGTATGATCACTGGGTTAGATGCAGGCTAGACAGAGCCGTGGCGAACAGTTTATGGTCTGAGCTCTTCCTTAAAGCTAGTTGTGCTTACCTAAATTTTGAAGGCTCTGATCACAAACCTGTAGTCTCTTACTTTGAACCAGAAAACAAGAAACAAAAGATGATATTTCGTTATGATAGGAGACTCAAAGACAATCCTGAAGTTCATGCCTTGGTGAAAAAAATATGGTAAAATTCCAGAAACCAAACAGTGAAACAGAGAATGGGTTCGGTGCGAAGAGCTTTGATTGAGTGGA